ACTACACTTACTACACTTACTACAGCTACTACACCTAATACACTTACTACAGTTACTACAGATACTACACTTACTACAGCTACTACACTTACTACAGCTACTACACCTACTACACTTACTACACTTACTAGAGATACTACACTTACTACAGCTACTACACCTACTACACTTACTACAGATACTACACTTACTACACTTACTACAGCTACTACATCTACTACACTTACTACACTTACTACACTTACTACAGCTACTACATCTACTACACTTACTACAGCTACTACACTTACTACAGCTACTACAGCTACTACACCTACTACTTACTACAGCTACTACACTTACTACAGATACTACACTTACTACAGCTACTACAGCTACTACACCTACTACACTTACTACAGATACTACACTTACTACACTTACTACAGATACTACACTTACTACAGCTACTACATCTACTACACTTACTACACTTACTACACTTACTACACTTACTACACCTACTACACTTACTGCAGCTAGTACAGCTACTGCACCTACTACACTTACTACAGCTACTACACCTACTACACTTACTACACTTACTACAGATACTACACTTACTACAGCTACTACAGCTACTACACCTACTACACTTACTACACTTACTACAGATACTACACCTACTACAGATACTACACCTACTACACTTACTACACTTACTACAGATACTACACCTACTACAGATACTACACCTACTACAGCTACTACAGCTACTACACTTACTACAGCTGCTACACCTACTACAGATACTACACCTACTACAGCTACTACAGCTACTACACTTACTACACTTACTACAGATACTACACCTACTACAGGTACTACACCTACTACAGCTACTACACTTACTACAACTACTGCAGCTACTACACTTACTACAACTACTACAGCTACTACACTTACTACACTTACTACAGCTACTACACTTACTACACTTACTACAGATACTACACTTACTACAGCTACTACAGCTACTACACCTACTACAGGTACTACACCTTCTACAGCTACTACACTTACTACAACTACTACAGCTACTACACTTACTACAGATACTACAGCTACTACACTTAGTACAGCTACTACACTTACTACACTTACTGCAGCTACTAGAGCTACTACACTTAGTACAGATACTACAGCTACTACACTTACTACAGCTACTACAGCTACTACACTTACTACACTTACTACAGCTACTACAGATAGTACACCTACTACAGGTACTACACCTACTACAGCTACTACACTTACTACAACTACTGCAGCTACTACACTTACTACAACTACTACAGCTACTACACTTGCTACATTTACTACAGCTACTACACTTACTACACTTACTACAGTTACTACAGATACTACAGCTACTACAACTACTACAACTACTACATTTGCTACACTTCACTACAGTTACTTCTGTGCCTAGAGGCCCGACATGGCACCATTACCTCAGGACATTTCATGGGGTCATACATGAACTACTGACCGATTTCACATCAGTTTATTGACAGCAGCGCTGCGCATAAAAGACTACACAGACATTTGACCTCCAGCTGTGATTCAGACAAAGAACTCCTCTTTGTCTTATCTGCATGAGAATGTGGTATGGGAAAGTCTCGGGGGAAAGTGGTGTTGCCGAAAACTTTGATGCGGCTTTTATTGATATTTTTGCAAGAAAATCATGTTTACCACTGATTTCGTGGATTTTTCGCTGATTTTTTATATCCAAAACAAATCCCGCTCATACAAAGCCTTTGAGCTGACTGCATGTAAACTTTGTCATTCACCAAGGGGTCTATCTATTTTTAGTAATTGTGCACAGCACCATCAACTCCACGTGTTGCCTAACCTGCGAGAGCATCCGGTTTTTTCGGCACTAGCTTCACAAATCACAACGCTTGTGAAACTAGAGCCGATAAAACTGAATTCTCTCGCAGGCTACGTGTAGCCAGATCAGCGTGAAAAGTGCCTGACTTAACTTTTCTCACGGGAAATTTAATATTTCTTCATGAAACACATTTACTCCAACAAAAGTATTTTTATTGATGAATATAATAAAAACAGCTTTTATTTAAAAAAAAAACGCAATAAACGCATTTTACAAGAGCATACGACTTGCCATCTTTTGTGTCAAAAATTTAACTGTTTCTGTCGGGGTGGCCTGGGTGTAAGTCAACCCCCGCCGGAAGTTTCGGAAGTAGTTTGGGCTCTCCCCAGTTTCTCCCACCTGAGTTTTCAAAATGGCCGCTCAATGAATTCGAAGCTGCGATACGCAGATCCTTATGCCAGAACTGTACACATGTCTTGCCATGCAAGAGGAACAGATTCATCATTGAATTTACACAGAAGAAAAGCTTGGTAATATTTCTTTAATTCAACGATGATTCTGTTAAAAAGCGATAAAACGTGAAGTCAACTTTATTCTTTTGAGCTTATATCCTTTGGTGGCCAAATGGCGACTTTCGCCGATAATTCAGTCGCCAATTTTTTTTTTCACTCGCCATGGCGACCAAAATGGTCGCAGCTTGGAGCGCTGGACTCATCACCAGCCGTCTCTCATTAACGCGCTAGGAGGTATGAAGAAGCCTGGGGCGAGGTAACTTTCTGCACCAGTTTGTGGTATACGCGGGTTAGTTAATTGAGTTTTTAGTTTTCGAGTGTAATACAGTTGCATTTTCCCAAATATAGACAAGGCGGGTCTGCATTTCCCTGTATATCGCTAAGAAACAACAGCCAGTTGCCTGCCGGTAGTCCGGACTATTACCACGCTAAGCATTTAAAACTGGTCAGTTTTTCATGCAAGAACAAAAAGTCGAAGCGGTGTGTTACTGCCAAATATTTTCTGGTTTGTCGTATTTCCTTTCGAACCCGTTTGCGTTATTATCTTATAGTATTTGTGGTTTTTACCGCTGATATAACTGCTAAGTTACGTATGATTTACAAACAAAGAAATCTATTATCCTTTGTATTAGTTAGCATCGTCGAACTTGCTCAAGAAACTTTTTCAGTTCTAGTCAACGTGTCATCGTGTTAAGATCAAAGTAAGGCTCAACGTCAACAGGGGCACCCAACGGCAATTTTCGGGAAAATATCTGTTCGGAAGACGATTTGAGATCTAGAATTTTCGGAGCATTTGTTGTAAAATTTCTTGCTTGCCTGCCTCTCCTAGGATTTTCGAACATCTGCAAAATGGTATAATTACCCATTTTTAACGGATTTTGACCCTAAAAAAGGCCACCTAGAATTTTCGGGAACCTTTTCCTGGCTGAAATTTTCGAGAAGGAAAATTTTTATCCCTATAATTTTCGGATCACTAGACTTTCAGCTAGGAAATCCGAACAGATGAAAAGTTTCTAGGGGATAAAAATATGCCTATATCTACTGTTTGAATACTAAAATACGTTCAACAATGCTATGTTAAGTGGTTTTGAACTATATCCTCGTTGGGTGCCCCTGCGTCAACGCTGTGAAATCCCTAAAGCGGACACTTTCACTTTGGGCATGATATGTTACGTTTTAGATAACCTTTTTGCATCGTATTAATGAAATCCAAAGTTTGTTTTCGTAGTTTTAAGGTAGTTTCTAGTTAATCTAACTATAGTGTTCGCTGTATTTATTTCTTAGTTTTCGAAACCGCTTTGTACATCGTTTTCTTCGTTTACACCGCTTTATCGCAGGTCAATGCGAGAAAGTGCATATTAAGATACGCTTAGAGTTACAGGACGTTTAGTCACACCTACGCACTTGAAAGTGTTACTTCCCCCGCTAAACTCGAAGACTAAGTAAAGTCAGTAGATGGCTGACGGCTCAGCTGTAACGTCGACATAAATTGGCATCGTCATCCGGTGAGTCCACTGCTGTTTATTTTTGTGTAAATCTTTCTCTTACATTTGTGTGACACAGCACACAATAAGAAAAATAAAACACTAAATTATCACAGAGTATTTTGATTCAAGAAGAAGCATCCAAACACATTCAAGGTTTTTTTTTTTTGCAGGGAAGAGTCAAAATTAGGCAAATATGACAGAGAACAAAAAAGGAATATAGTCCCATCTGAACGCTCTTTCGCGTGTGTATCCTTGCGTGATCGCGTGACAGCGGTAGACGTTAATTAATACAAAGACAATCAAGGAGAACGAAAGTAAAGTGCTTAGCAAAGCGAATGTTGCTGAACACTGATTCGATTGAGTTCCTTGGATAATTTCATCCTTCCTTGAGAGGTTTATGAACAGGAGATTAAACAGATAAGCGGTAAGTGATGTTCAAACAACCACATGAAGTATTTTAACGCATTGGAAACATGCAATGATCCGTAATCTACCAGTTTCTCGTGAGTTTTCAAGCCGGAAGTTTATTCGAGTGAGAACTATTTGTAGGTCGAAAGTAAAATTTGGACGTTGTATGATTTCTTTTTGTTAATTGTCACTTTTATGAGACCAATAATACGACAGGCTTCGGTTACAAATCTCACATTAACAAATTTTGATGGTTAATTTCAATGTGTCGCACAGAAACGAAAGAAAATAATTTGCTCTGTGACTTGGAAACACTTGATCAGCTCGCCAAAGAAAAGCTGTAATTTGCCTGCAATCGTTTTCAGTATTAAGCTCTGATCAAAACCTGACTTGTCTCCATAGGTCTCCAAAGTTGAGTCCTGACTAGTTCGATCGATCGTTCCATTTAGTTGCCGAGTTGGTCATCTGCTTTGTGTTGAATATTTACAGGATAATTTCAATGATGCGTTGTAATTTGATTTTTGAAGCTGCAAGGGTCTTGCTGACAAAGTATACACTGAACGTTGTCGTCACCACTTGAAATATAGGGTTTTAGTTCAACAGGTTCCAATGCAAGCAAGCTGAATCAGTAACTCTTTTTATCCTGTCGATTGGTCGAAAATGTTTCAATCATTAGAATATTGACTGTAATTTATAGAATAAATTTCGCTACAAATTTAT